GGTAGTCGAGACTCAAACAGTTGTATTAGATATTCATGTTCAGATAGCTTCTTGTTTCGTTCTTCCGCTTATGTTATATTTTCCGCTGTTTATACGTTATCGCTTTAAAATTGTTAAAAGGAAATAATTGGATAATGAAGTAATTGGTTCAAGGAATTGGCTTGAGCTCATATTAAATGGCGCTACATAATTGGAAGGAGGTTTAAGTAAATCACCTTTGTCAAAAAATTGTGTTGTAGATTTTTTTAGTTTCGTTGTAAGAATTTCTGAATTCACCATTGAATTTTAGCATACACTACTTAGGTGTGATTTGTGAAGTTGCAATCTAGCTCAACTTAAGTTCTTTTTCTGGTTTTTCTTCTTCTAGTATTCATGGACTCATTCATTGCAAAATGTTAGTATAAAAAGAATCTAAACTATAATCTTATCCAAGTGCCAATCAAAGCAGGATTATATGTCTTTATCATATTTGGCCAATTCGTTTGAACTTTACCCAAAACGTAAATTGGAAGCCAAAATCGATAGAGAAAAAACAAAAACCAAAAGAAAAGAAAAAACTTTTGCCTTTTGTTTTTCTCTAATGGTCACCAAAACATAGCCAGATGCATCGTCTGCTGTCTGCTGTTTTTATTATCATAACTAAATATCCATTTATCAAATGAAAATATATCTTCCTCTCTTTAAATAATCTAACACGACTTTTAAAAATGGGACGATAGATGCTAATAATACTACTACTACTTATATAATTTATTGAAAACAAGGTCACCCTCATTGCCGTTAGAAATCCGGAGAACTCCTAGTAATTTAATGTAAAATATTTATCCGCATACGAGTTTACCCCAATTCAATAATACATGACACATGTGTTTATATATATTTTTATCACTAAATCATAATTAATTTTTACATAGTCTTACCGTAAGGGCCCGGTTGGCCATATTAAAAAAAAATCTTTTTTCGGAAATTTTTTACTTCTTCGGAATCAGTGTTTGGCCATGAAAATTTCACCTGAAGTTAAATTTTGAAATTTTTCAAAAAATTCAAAAAGTTTTTTTTTTCAAAATTTTATTACAATTCACTCACAAAAATTCAAAAACAGCTCTAAATTATATTCATATCCAAACACAACTTTAATTTTCCTATATCATTTTCACATGATTCTTTTAAAACTTTTTCCGGAATTTCATAATTCTTATGTCCAAACGCCCGCTAAGCTTAATTAGTATAATTTGGTGTAAAAAATGACTGCGGGTAAATTATTATCGTAATTTAATGAATTTTCTTATCCCCACTTTGAATATTCTGATTTTATAATAATGTCTCATTAAGAAGCATTATTGACATTCCTACTTTTCGGCGTTATGACCCCACTGAGATGTATCAATGTATTAATACTAAAAAAATTGAGAAATTTTTTATTTTGTGTCTCACACAGCTGACACTAGTTGTGTGAGGCCTTTTTTTTGTCTCACAACCGTGTGGTCTCAGAATTTTGTGGACTCAGATGTGTAAGATATGGGTCCACAAATATGTGAGATAAAAAGAGATCTCACACAACTAATGTAAGTTGTGTGAGATCCAAAATAAAACCACTCCTAAATTGATGTTTTGTGTCCCTTATTACTTTCACTGATGACTCATCACTGATGACCTGGTATCTTGGGTTTTTTTAAGAAAAGCAGCAATCAGTCACATAATTACAAAGACAAAGAAACACAAGTTGCACTGGTTTGGATCAATTTTCATGTTAGCCTTTGGGTGGCAGACATTGTATCGAGATCGTAGGAATTTTAGCATGTTTGGCCAAGTTTTTTTTGAGGCAAAACCACTTTTTTTTGGTCAAAAGTGATTTTTTTTAAAATTAAGGTGTTTGGCCAAGTTTTTGAAAAGAAAAAAAAGTGCTTTTGAGGAGAAGCAGAAGCAGTTTTGGAGAAGCAAAAAAAAGTAGCTTCTCTCCAAAAGTACTTTTCTGAAAAGCACTTTTGAAAAAAATAAACTTAGAAGCAATTTTTTAAAGCTTGGCCAAACACTAATTGCTGCTCAGAAGTGCTTTTCAAATTAATTAGTCAAACACAAACTGCTTCTCACCAAAAGTACTTTTGAGAAAAGCACTTTTGAAAAAAAAGCACTTCTCAAAATAAGCTTATTTTTACAGCTTGGCCAAATGGGCTATTAATTAAAAATTGCTCAACTTTCTATTTCGATGATTCTTCTCTCATCGAAATAGAATCGTTAATCACTAGAGATATTTTTCTTTTAATCACTTTGAGATATTGATCTGTTCTTAACCTAAAAAATATATCTTTTTATTGAATACCTTTTCTGCTTGACAATGATGTTGCTAAGGTCAGCTTGTGTATCTAAATTTTTTTGATTTTTCATTCAGTATTTTATATTTGTATTGTAGTCCGACTAATTTGAAAACACCCTGAAGGTTCATTAAAATGGAAAAGTGGTATCTACCATGATTTTTCTATTCTTATGGTATCATAAATTTTTCTATTATCGAAGCTTGAACTCGAAATATTAATTTAATAAAGGGTGAATTGATCTGATCAATCCCACTACAACCCTTGATTATGCGTACAAGGGCGAGTGTAGTGCCGAAACTACGTGTTCAATTGAACACATAACTTTCGACGCGAAGTAAAAATTATATGTAAAAGTTCATTAAAATTATAAAACTGATAGATATGAACCTATAACTTTAAAATATAATTCAATATTAAAAACTTAAAAGTTGAACCCATATGATTTAAATTCTGGATCCGCATATATATGCGCATCTAAATTATTGCACTTGTTACATGCATCTTCCAAATATTACCAGTAACCGATAACTATGCAAGTTGATTTACACATAAAAAAGGATTGTCGAGTAATACTCTTTGGTGCAATAAGTCTTCTTCTTATTATTATCTTGTTGCAATTTATTTTGTTTTCATTTAGTCTTATTTTTGGTACACATGAATATTGTCTCCCTGGTCTATTTGGATTCAAACTTTAGTGTAGGCAGAGGATCGGTAAAATTAAACTATAAACAGCTTACATAATAATCTCTTGATCTCTAAAACGAAGACCCTGAAATAATTTTTTTACTATAAATCTCCTTTTCTTTTCTTCATCTTAAATGTAAATTACAGAAGAAAAAAAAGAGGAAAAAGAAGAAGAATATTTTGTTTTTACTTGAAGATCCTTTTTTTGGGTTTAGTCAATATTTCATATCCACATCGAAGCCCGACTAAACCTTGACGATTGAATAAAATTTGGTGTATGTATAACTAATCCACCAAATTAAAACTAAGAAATAGGGTGAGAGATAAAAAAGAAGAGACAGGAAAAAGGATCAAATTCAAAAAGAGTCCGCCCAAATATTTACTACTATTATTTGTGGGAGTGGGTCCCTTGACAAGAACAACAATGCCCATCCAGCCTTGTAGTATCCAATTAGATCAGGGAACGTGTCCATCTTTGATACCGTGTAAGTAGTAGATAAGAATCTCATTTGAAATATCTACTACTCCACTAGTTGGACAACAATTAGAATCTCTATTCTCTTGTACTATCTTTTACCTGTAAAATGCACATGATAACTGTAATATTTTCTTCTTTTGAGTTTTAAGCTTTATATATTGATCTGTAAAAGCATGATCATCTAAATTATAAGACAATTTTAAAAAATTATGTCAGTACATGTTAAAATTTACAATTAATAATGAAAAAGATCTTTACACTATATATATATTTTAAGAACTTTTCGTTTTTCCCCCTACTAAGTAGTGTGGTAGCTAGTGGGAATCTTTTTTCGCGTTAAAAAAATAATACTTACATAAAGTAGTTGGTTTTTTTATATTCCACAAAATATTCAACGCCTATTTGTTTATGTTTTTCCTATAAATTAAGCTGTTTAAGAACAGTATAATGTTAATTAGTTTACTTTGGAGGTGATGTCACATATTCCTCGTCTATATAAAGAAAAAAAGCTGAAAAAAATAAATATTTCTGTTTTAAACTACCTGAAGCTTGACTTTCGAATATAGGATAATGCGTTTTGTATTTAGATAAAAAATAAAATATAGGTTTTCCATCTTCATCAATGCCATCCAATGATATAACGAAGAAATAAAACAAGTGATAAGCGCGAAAATAAGAAAAGAAGATTTATTACGTAATACATTATAATTTGACAGAGTGTCTTAACAACTATAGTAGTAGTAGTATTTTACTTTTTTTCAAAAATACCCTAGTTGGTCTCTTTCTTTTCCCCAAAGTTTAAAGGCCGTAACTCCAAGTGCCAAACTACCACTATTTTATGCTTTTTGAAATTTTTCTAAACCTTCTTGAAAGTTCATACTTATTTTTTTTACATTTTCATATTTACTGGTTCGATTAATTCAAATTCATGTTGGGTGAAGCTTATTAAAGATAAAATATTCCTTATCAAAAAAATTCAATCGTTAAGCTTGAAAATTTTATTTTTGAACTCAGAATATTAAGAGCCCGTTTGGACATTAAAAAAATTTCCTTTTTTTTTTGAAAAATTGTCATTTTTTTCGAAATTAGTGTTTGACCATAAAAATTTTAATTTTCACTTGAAAATGGATTTTGAAATTTTTCGAAAATTTGAAAAACTCCAAAAAGCTATTTTTCAAAATTTTCACTCAAATCACTCATAAAATGTCAAAAACAACCCAAAATAATTTTTACGTCCAAACACAACTCTAATTTTCAAAGGTCATTTTTACTTAAAAACTTTTTTCATTTTTTATTAGAATTTTACAATTCTTATGTCCAAACGCCCACTAAAGATGGAGAACTGACTCAACTATCCACCACATCCGATAATGTGTAAAACTCAATTAATTTGTCCTTTTTGTAGCTGCTTCCTATTTCTAATTTCTTTTTTCTCTTCATTTTCATCTTTTCCAGCAAGCAGTAAAATACTTATCCAATTTCCAAAAATATCCCCTCTCCTTCCTTTATAAACACTGTTTCTTCTCCACTTTTCTCCAATCCCTTTTCTTCCCCCACAAAGCAGGAAAATCACCCAATCATGGCAACTCATAGCTCCACTCTCACCATATCCCTACTTCTCCTCCTCTTCTTCTTCTCCACCTTATCTTCCGCTTCCGACATGTCCATCTTAACCTACGACGAAAACCAACACTTTCGAACGGACGATGAAGTCATGTCCTTGTACGAGTCATGGCTAGTCGAACATAGAAAATCGTACAACGCCTTAGACGAAAAAGACAAGCGGTTTCAGATCTTTAAAGATAACCTAAGATACATCGATGAACAAAACTCTGTTCCAAACAAGAGTTACAAGCTTGGTTTAACAAAATTTGCTGATCTGACTAACGAGGAGTACAGGTCCATGTACTTAGGTACTAAGACCAGTGATCGTCGCAGGTTGTTGAAAAACAAAAGCGATCGGTATCTTCCTAAAGTTGGGGATAGCTTGCCGGACTCAGTTGATTGGAGAGAGAAAGGTGTTCTTGTTGGAGTTAAGGATCAAGGAAGCTGTGGTAAGTTAATTAGCTATGGATTGTCTCTTTCGTTTATCTCTGGTTTTTGGGTTGTGGATCTAAATTTAATTAGACAGCTTTTTAGATGATATTTTCGTGATTTAATTTGTTATTAAAGGATGTAGAGATAGGCTAGTTGGTGTTCCACTACCATAATTAATTAATACGTAGAAAGTATTTCTACGAACTTGACAAACAAAGGAAATCATACGTGCCTTAGTGTGCTAAAATAAATAAATACTCTCCCTTTCAATATTTTGATGATGTAGTTCCACTTGTCAAAAAAGTTTCGTAGGTCTATAATATTTGTGTGACTATAATATGAAAATGTTAAAGTTAAATTATTTCTAAATATAACTGATTATTCATTATTTTCTATGTTATTAGATAAGAATCGACATCAAGAATTATTTTCTATGATATTAGATCAGATTTAAATATTTCCTATGTTCTTTACACTTTTGCACTTAAATAAGCTCTCATGTTAATAGTGTGGGGCGTTCAATTCTAGTCCTCTATAACTAGAAAGTAGAAAGCCAATATGTGTGTCTACGCATAAACGAAGGATACCTTTATGTTTTTCTTTGAGTTTAATTTATATACTCTATAGTATTATTTTTTCATAATAATTGTGTAATTTTAATCAGTTGTAACAGTTTATTATTTTATTGTTTAAATAGTCATATGCTCGTATTGTTTGATATAATAAAGAATTATCGTCATAGATCAACTTTTACCTAATAATATAACAATTCTGTACATTTTTGGTGCATAATCATATTTTTCCCCGACCCCATCTTTTCTTTTTTTCCTAGTCATTATTCCCTGACCCCATCTTTCCATACGCATGAGCAATTACAGGGTGAAAAGCTTAACAGCACAACTTGATAATGATAGAAAATGTTCACCAATTGATGCAGAGTTTTGGCACTAGAATATTTGCTAGTTGCTGCAATATTTAATGTGCAATTTGATGTTAAATGGTACGAATACCATGTGACATTGGCGTGCATTCTTTATTAATGCCTGAATATCAGTTGCTTTTATAAATCACTAAGTCTAATGGCATCAGTTAAAATTTCTCAATTCATTATTTAAGTTGTATGGCTCAATATTTGTGTATTAATCTATCGGTTAAATGAACCAGGGAGTTGTTGGGCATTCTCTGCAATTGCTTCCGTTGAAGCAGTGAACTCGATAGTCACAGGAGATGTGATTTCACTATCGGAGCAAGAGCTGGTGGACTGTGATACTTCCTACAACGACGGTTGCAATGGCGGTCTTATGGACTATGCCTTTGATTTCATCATCAAAAATGGAGGAATTGACACTGAGGAAGACTACCCTTACACCGGCCGTGATGGTAGATGTGACCAGTCAAGGGTAAGTTTTGGATTCTTGAACTGAACTAACTTCACTTTATTTATTGATTTATGTAGTGAATTGAAGATTTTTTTTTGAAACATTTGTATCATGCAGAAAAATGCCAAGGTTGTTACCATAGATGGGTATGAAGATGTTCCTGCAAATAATGAAAAGGCACTGCAAAAGGCTGTTGCAAATCAACCTGTGAGCATTGCCATTGAAGCTGGTGGCAACGACTTTCAACACTATGTATCGGTAATGTACTCGTATTGGCCTATCTTTTTCTTCCGAAAGCAGAAAATATTAGTGAACATTCCAAATATGTAAGTCATTTAGCTAGTCACAGAATTCCAAGAAATTCATCGTCTTTCCAGTACTGCGTTACCTTTCGATCAGAGGCAATAGTTTTGTTTCGACCAAGGAATGTAGCAAAAGATAATGTTGGCTGCATGAGTTAACATATTCCTGTTATAATTCGAAACCTATGATTTACCGATTATCACTTCTTACAATTTTATAATTAAATCTTATTATAATGAAGTTCTTATTGGCTAGTAGCTATATGGTTCTAATACTTATCTGCAATTTCTTTTGCCTTCACATGTCTGCAGGGTATCTTTACTGGAAAATGTGGAACTGCAGTGGACCATGGTGTGGTTGCTGTTGGATATGGTAGTGAGAATGGCATGGATTATTGGATTATTAGAAACTCTTGGGGTGCTTCCTGGGGAGAGAAAGGTTACCTTCGGGTTCAACGTAACGTTGCCAGTTCTAAAGGTTTGTGTGGATTAGCCATAGAGCCTTCTTACCCAGTCAAGACAGGCGTAAATCCCCCTAAACCTGGACCTTCTCCTCCATCTCCAATCAAGCCACCTACTCAGTGTGATGATTATGCTCAATGCCCTGAGGGTACCACTTGCTGTTGTGTCTTTGAATACTATAACTCCTGCTTCTCTTGGGGATGTTGCCCTCTTGAAGGAGCCACTTGCTGTGAAGATCACTACAGTTGCTGCCCCCACGACTATCCTGTCTGCAATATTCGTGCAGGCACCTGCTCAATAGTAAGTGACTCGCACTTATTATTTCTGCATAGAAGTTTGATTTCTGTACATTGATCGTCCAAAAAATTTTGATATTATCAGTGTAATTTACCTGGTTGTAGCATGTTGCTCGCCATTCTTTCTAAACATTGCTCGTGATTGCATTTGTTGATACAGAGCAAGGACAACCCGCTGGGAGTGAAGGCAATGAAGCACATCCTTGCTGAACCAATTGGGGCCTTCATAAATGGAGGAAGGAAGAGCAGTTCTTGAAATTTCACAAGCACCAGCTATGTGGAATGAGGTGAGAGAAGGGTCAACAGAGGATGTAAAAGTCATAATTGTGCTTGACGGCCTCGTTGTTACATTGATTTGCAGAACTCATTTCCAGTAGAAAGTTGTAGAGAAAGATAATCCATAATCAAGTATTTCAAAGATGCTGATATATGATTTGTATATATGCTTATTTATTGTTGTTGCTGCAACTACAGCAAGATTAAAGAAGGATTATTGTTCTGCTTTGTCTAATTATGTAAATAATCCTTGTTTCTTAGTATGAAGACTCCAAGTGATGTTTTCATCAGCCTGTTTATTCTTTAACTTGTACTTGGTTTCAACAATAATATCAGAGACTATTTTCTGTACCTTTTCATCACACAGTATTTATTTACTCCACCATCTATTTATTTTCTGCCCCTATTTTTTCAAGATTGAAAAAGTATTCATTCTTTCTCCTGACATAATACTGGTATGAAATGATTGTACAGTAGAAAGACTGTCCCCAATTTGAGCGAAACTTACAGCAGCCCGAAAAGGAACTGCAGTAATCAAGCAAACTAATTTCACATTGAGTAGAGCGTTTATTAAACAATTCATCAACCATAGGACTGTATCCTGTATTCCAAGTTTAAAAGAACTTGATTTTGAGGCATTGAAGCAACTCCAACAATAGTTTCCATGCATTCCCTATTGGTGCACATTTACCGAGTCTCATTTCCATAAGCATTCAGTAATTTTGCTTAGAGCAAAAGATTGTAAAACGATTAGAGGAACCTACTCTATGATAAGCAAATAATGAACAAGAGATTTGCACCCGCGGACATGTTATTTCACTGTCATATCAAGGCGTATACTATTAGAAGTATTGAATTATGAGTGGAAGATGAGACTATTTGCATTCTCGAGGTTGATATTTCGAGATGGAGTTTTCAGTTTGGCAGGGTATGAATTGCCACTTTGAAGCATCTCGTTTCAAATGCAAGTTGCAGACTAGACGGAACCCATGCTGAAGCTGCCAATTCAAGTATGAAGTGTCCAACTGTTGCTCTTTGGGCTTATAGGACGGCTTCTTAAAACATCAACTGATATGTCATAATATTAGTTGGTTTTTGAAAAGACTTGTCACCTATCGGCACAGTTTGAACATATGAAAGCATGGGCCTTGAAGAATTTGAACTTGGAGCTGTTAGATGTTGAGAACAGGGGTAATACAATTGAATAAGTAGGATGAGTTTTGGCGACATGCCTAGAGAGACGACTAAAGGAACCTACTCCATGATGAGAAAATAATAAACTGAGTCATTTTCACCCAAAATATGGAGCATATTGTCGAAAAACTTGAATGATGATAAGTGGACGATGAGACTATTTTCATAATTCTCAGAGATTGGTATTTCGAGTTGTAGAGACCGATTTGCGATTAAAAAGAAACATATTAAATTTCTTCACTATAATTTTTCTATGGTATTGGTGGTGTAGCTATATCGATAGAATACATGGAATTGATGAGGTGAAAAAAACAGGAAGAAATGATGCAACCTTTTCCTGTTTCATTTGCTCTCTTTAACTTCAGGTATTCTTTTTTACAAAATAAGTTGTTAATATTAAGTAATCACTTTTATCTTAAATCATAATATAAATATTTAGCTTTTAAAAAAAAATTCTATGAGAACATGTTGAGACACTATGCTTCCATAAAAAGGTGTCAAAAAGTATGTACTCTAAAATTCTTAGATTGTTTTGGGATTTATTTATTATTTAATAGCACGTTTAAGGCATATCCCACGATCTTAGTTAGACAAAAAACAATATATGTCATTTCGCCCTCATCTAGACATGGTAAGTCCCAAAGTTTGTGTAGCATTTTAATTGTTACATATTGAAATCCAAATTTAGTTAACTTCTAAACAGACTTCTCCTATACCCAATTAAAAGATCATATCTTCTTTGTTATGACAAAGCATAACAGACAATGGCATAACACAAGTTATTGCTAGTTTTTTCTATCCCCTCCATATTACTGTGAAGAAACCTTGAACAAAGAAGCCAACCACATAATCCAAAAATTGCACCTACATTGAAGCCTTCAGTCCCAAGGTTGATGTTAGAAGGCTCTCAACAAACAAACTTGCCACATGTGTTGTTGAAACATCTCAGCCCTCTCCTACTGCATCTTTAGAAATGTCTCTGACATCAAATTAAGCAGTGGAATTGGAGCCGCTTACCAGGCCGAAAGGAAGTTATTGGACATATCTATATAATATTATGACAAAATAGACACACCAAATATCTGATCCAACTTGAGCCGTTATTTCCAAGGCCATGCAACCGGACTATAGTTGTCTGGTATTTATGTTAGGCTACATTAGGAACTCCATAATCGCATTTCATTTGAATATAAGTCTCATTGAATGTGAAAAGGCTAGCAAAACTCATATTTCTTCAACTGAAATGCCTACTACTTCTTAAATTTATCAAGAGCAACATGTGATATCTCGAGGATTAGGGACACTTAACTCTAACAAGCTCTAGCTTCTCTTTCTCAAGGGGAAGGGATAAATGGCTTATTTTCCAAGTTTTTAAAATTCTACAATGAAAGATATTTCATTATGATTGTTTGATTTATTTTCTCTTTTACTGGAGTCTGAGTAATCAAATTAGAAACTTTAGCTTTTAAAGTCTTTTTGTAATTTTCAAAGGTGTGATATTCTTTGTTATGCTATTACAAGATATATTATGTGAAATATTTGCTTATATTTGATATATTTTATATTAAAGATACAGTGATAGATAAATAAAAGCCAAATTTTAAAGATCTATAAAACAAAAGACAAAAAATATTATTTATGCTATTAGATCATTTTAAGTATAGTTAAATGTAACTCATAATTAAAATCAATAATAAAGAAAATAAGACAAATAATCTTTTGTAGTATTCAATTATATTTTATCATTCAATCTCTCTTTATTATTGTACATGCCATTTAACTTTAAGAAATATGAATGTTATAAAAAATTTTGTATGTCATAAAGTATTTTTTTAAGAAAGTTGAACTAAATTTGTGAAAATTTGCTATCAAGAACAAGAAGTTAGTGTCGGTTCAATATTCATCACTTAGTAAAAAAAAATGTTAGGAACGATTTATAATGTGTTAAAAATGAATAGAGATCAAATTCCACTGGTTTGAAGTTTTTGGGGATGATATGACTAAAATTAATCCTGTTTAATCAGAAAATAGAAATTTTGGCTTAAGCTTATTTTTAGAAGTACTCGGGCTACTGATAATCAAATAAAAGAATATCTTAGCAATGAAATAAGAGCAAAAAATGGTAAAGTAATCGGTTTAAAGCAAAGTAAATAAATATGTTCAAATAACAATCAGAACGTCCCCATACAAATGACATTTCTATTCCTTATATAGACATTTCTAAGTACAACGACTTCTTTCCCCTTTTTGACTAAGTCATTATGAGCATTAATGATATTAATGGAACGTTATGGTTAGTAATTGTAACTGCTCCGTGAATATTCTGTAATGTTTGTAATCATTCATGCCCATTAATTGCAGTCTAATGAATCTATCATTTTTCTTGTCTTGGCTCATTCCACCGGTGTCTTTTCAGATTACTGAGAGACTCGAACAACCGTTCCTTCTCATCCCTCAGACGTTTTGCTCGTACCTATTAAGACTCATGTCTTTTTAAGTACTCTTCTCCAGCTGTCACTTTTCTAATGATCCACGTGTCTTGCCATGTCAGCCGTACAATTAATTCCACGTGCAATGTTTATTTTTCCCCAATACAGATAGTCCCCCCACTTGCCAATTATTCAATAATTAAGTATTTGGGAAGTGGATCTCATTTAAAGCGGGAATTTTTACTGTCGTTTCTCACATACCTTTATACCTTCTTCTGAACTGACACGTCGCATGAAACTTCCATTTAATGTGTGCGATAAGTGGCGGTCATTGATTGGTTCTACAAATCTTCAGCGTGACAGTTTTCATCATGACGTTTCCATCATTACCTTTTTGTGTTTGACGGTTGCTTTCGAGTATAAATATATCCTTTGCCATTTTCTTCACGAAATTTTTTCCATATCTTGCTATTCAATATTTTCTACTTCTTCTTACAACTATGTCTTCTCCGAACCCCGATCCTCGAAAGATCCTTATTGTTGATGAACTTCCCCTTGCTCCTACCAGAAGCAAGAGAGGTGGTAGGCTGCGTAGTTTAGGATCAGTTTCCCTACGAGGTTCTTCTTCTCAACCTAGTTCTACTCCTCTATCGTCTTCTAGAACTAGAGCTTCTTTTTCACATAGGCCCTCTGCTAGAAATAGGGATTCCAGCGAGCCAATTCGTGAATCTACAGTAGACGAGATATCCCTGCTGAACTTTCTTTTTATTCTGATAGAGAGTCGATTAGAAACCAAGTCTCTTTTTTGTCCTCTCATGATCGTGCCGATGTTTATCCTTCACAAATTACTGAAGGTTTGATCTCTGCGGTTCGTAGAGATTGCCATTGGAAGTTTGATTTCCCAATTCTGATCCCCAATGCAAATCAAAGGATCACTTCTTTTAAAGCTGGCTTTTCTTTCGTGTATACGTATCCCTTCACATTAGACTTTAGACCTCCTATTAACCCAGTCATTATTGAATTCTGCCGCTTCTTCAGTGTGTGTTTAGGACAAATCGGCCCTATTGTATGGAGGGATGTTGCATGTTTAAGATACTTGGCTAATTTGGCTCAATTGCCTTTCACCTTTTATCATCTAATCCATCTCTAATCTCCTAAATTATTTGGATATTTACTCTGGTGGCGAGGAGTAAGAGAGTTTTAGTCAGCCCTGAGGACGATAAAGATCGTGGCTGGTACGCCCGATTTGTTGCTGCTCCTACAAAAAGAATAGTAGGTGAAGAGAATATGCCCTTCCTTGAGAAGTGGAACTTTACACGTAAGTTTTCTTTACAACTTTTTTTTAGAGCTTGTACTTCCCGTGGCCGTTTTACTTTTCTTTTTCAGCAACCATGGAAACTGTTGAGGAGATTTTCGATTTTCGTGGTTGGCTAGAAAAATTATTGACAATTGCTCCGATGGAAGAAAGGTCTTGGAAGTACCTTTCAAATAGATTTGGCTGGAAGGTTAAGACTCACGGTAATTTTCTTCCATTTTTACCTTTTCCTTCGTTCATTCTCTCTTTAGAATTTATTAACCCCTCTTTTTATCAGGGTTTCCTATTCGAGGTGTGAGTGCTGAATCAATCGCGACTTCTAGACTCTCTTTAGCAAGAGCTCAGGAGATAATCTTGAGTTCTTCATCAAAAAGAAAAGCTGATAGGGCACAGGATTCTGAAGATGAAGAGGAACGAGATG